ATCGAAGTCGGCAAGCATTCGTTCCGCTTGGCTAATGTTTCGTGTTATAAGGATGATTTCATCAGCAAAGGGAAGATAGCGTAATCATTGACCATCGATTTCCACTACCATATTATCCCATTCCAATGTTCGCATGACGTTCTGTAGGGTGGCGGTAAATAATTTTAAAGAGATGGTATCGCCTTCCCTATCTTCTTTTGACTTCAATGTTGATATCTTTGAAGAACGATGATATTGCGGTTGCGAAATTTCAGTACAGTTCCCTAATAATCTTTATATACTAAGTAGCGACTCTCAGGCTATCAAGGATTTCTATGCTGTTTCTATATCAGTTGAGTCGAAGGCCTTCTTTAAATCGATGAAAGTGAAGCAGAGCGGTCATTTGTACTCTCTCAATACTCCATTGAGTCTTATTACCGTGTGGATGTGGTCCATCGTACTAAATCCTTTTCGAAACCCTGAGTGCTCTCATGACTGTCCTTCGTCCAGTGTTCTGTCAGTCCTGTTTAGGATGATTCGAGTGGGAAGTTTGTAGAGGACATACAGCAAGCAGATGGGGCGATAGTTGCCGATATCGTGGAGGTCACGCTTCTTGAACATTAGCACGATCTTGCTGGCCTTCAATTGAGTAGGGACCTTGCATTCAGACAGGTAACGTGTAAACAGCCGAGCCAGTGTGTTTACGGGGACTGGCGGAAGGTTACTCAAGTGTTCATATCTTATTTTATCTGGACCCGGTGCTGTTCGATTTTTTACCGACGGAATGGCATGTCGGATTTTGGAAGGGAGAACCGAGGGTACAACATAACCATCCTCCTTTATTTCATATGAAGGAAAAAGGTCGTGACTATTGAAGAGATCTGAGTGGTATTCGTGAATGATTTTCCCCATTGCCTTTCTGTACGCTGTAACTGTTCCGTCTGGGCGTCGGAGTGCGATAATCTTTATCTTGTAATTGGCGAAGCATCGGTGGGCTTTGGGAATGCCTTTCACAGCCTCTGCAGCTTCGACCATTACTGCTGCTCTCCTCTCTTTAAGATCTTCTTTTATCGCCTGTATGCATTGTTTTGCAAGTTCGGACGTTAGTTCGCGGTTGCCTGCAGCTCGTGCGATTTTACGCTGGCGTATCAGCTCGAGTGTTTCTGGAGACCGACGTCTCTTTTTGACTTCTCTGAACTCTGAGCTTTCATATCGCTAACATGAAGATGTTCAATGAGTCGATCGTATTCGTCGATGATGTTATCGACAACGCCATCTTCCAAACGGCCGACTAGCGAATTGAATAAGTCCCAGTCTGTTGTGGTTCTGGGACTTCGGTTTTTGAATTTAGCAGCTTCTTCGTCGTTGCGCGAGAAAAAAAACCTTGCAAGGTTGAGGAGGCAACGGTCTGATCCCGTGTAGAATTTTGGAACAACAGCGACATCGGTTAGGCAAAACCTTCTATTTACTATGATGTGGTACATTTCGTTATGGTACTCTCTTTTGGGAGATTCCCACGTCCAGTATTGAAGATGGGGTTTCTGGAATTGCCAGTTACCATAGATGGTCTTGGTCATGATGATAAACTCAGAAAGCCGCTCATCCTGTGCATTCCATTCTAATCCGTGGGTCCCAATGTGACGTTCTTCAAACTTTGCTCTTGGTCCAATCTTAGCGTTAAAATCTCCAATGATGACCTTGAAGAATGCACGGTCTTCTCTGAAGAACTTCTCCAAGACCATTTATAACGCTTCAACTTCTTCGTCATAGTTTGATGTTGGGGCGTAAACGACGAAGGTTGTCAAAGGCCGTATTGATCCACATATTCTTAATCGTTAACGTCCAATTCGGGTTGTAAGTTATTCGAACGAATCGATCTTCATGAACAAACTCGTGTTGACTGGAACGCCGACGTCGCTGACTCCTCTACTGCCGGCGTGTTCTGAGGAACAGTTCTTCTCCGGAGTCATAAACGGCATTGAATAGCGTCGTCTCGTCTCGGCCAGTGCGATTACGTCGTGCAACTGCTCTGTGGGTGGCGCGTAGATTCTCAACGACGATGAAGCATCAGCCCACGTTTCCGCTGCGTATCAACCCATGTCTCTGATGCACAATAGCGCTATGAGGATCGCTGAGTTGAAAAGGTAGGAGCAGTTTTTGTCAGCCAGTTGATCGGTGGCTTCTTTGTGAGGTCCTTCTTTAAAAGACGACGATGTAGCTAGCGAAATAAAGATTTTATATTAATTTCCCATCAATACGCATAACTTTGCCAACTCAATCAAGCGAATACAGCATCCACTGCGGGGGCAAGGTAGCTTTGGCTATATTGTGTCGCCTTGTTAAACCCTTTTTTCTATGAATACGGCAAGAGGTTGATGAAAAGCTATATTTTCGTAGTGCAGCTGTGTTAACAGTCAGATAAAGCTCTTATGTAGTACGGGACCATTCTTTGGTCGACGAGCGCTGACAGGAATGCGTTTGGTTCGACAATGCTAAACGCTTTTTCGTAGTCGGTCAATGTTACGACAAGACGCAGATGCTACTTCCGAGAAACTTTCATGAGCTGTGATACGGTTTGTAATACGGTCTACCCAGCAGAATCCCCATCGGATCCCCATCTGCTTGCTCAACTGGCTTTTCCTCATAAAGGTCTTTGATAAGCGCAAATGGACAATCGTTGTGAATAGCTTGTAGCGTGCATCCAACAAGCCTACACTCACTTTCTTTTGACGTGGAAAATGATGAGTAAAATTAGTCCTGCGCCCTGATAGCATTTCGCATGAGATTGCGTACTGGATGGGAAGCACATGGGTGTACGACAGAGGCAACGCTTCCGAAATTTTGTAGCTGAAATTTCATTCCACGAGTGACAAGAATCCCGTCGTCTAATTCGCCGATTGAAGCCCCGCCATAGGTCGCAATCGGACACCTTCCAGCCACGATGACGTGATAAACCGTCGGCAGAATGTGTTAAGAAAAGAACAAAATACCTGGGAATAAATAGGTTATTTGTGTAGTTGTTGATAGTTCATCGTACTTGTAATCTATAGATCGTCGGATATTGAAATCATAGAAGATCGTAATCTACTGCTTCCTAAAGGATAAAGGGTAATGCTCGTGGCGTTGATCAATCCCTAAGGGATCAGCCATGCATTCGGCTTTATTAAGCATCGTTTGGAGGTGATTGAATGCATATTTGGCCTTTACCATGAATCGCGGTGACCTTCCAATGCAAAGAACCAGTGCCGCTACCCTCCCCATACCAATTTGACGGCCCCGGAGGGATGGAAGGCTTGGTGGGCCATGGGCGCGGGAATCGATTCCACGTGTGTGCTGCAGGGCGCCTGCGACCACTGCGCTACAATCACTCCTAATGCTTCCAACACGGGTAGAAATTGTCGTTTTCAGCATAGTAAGTGACCTTTAGAAGCGCTATAGATGCACTGCATAAGTGTCATCGCTCGAGATTTCGAATGCAGTTACTTTCTGGTAAGACGTCAGTACTTCCCATATAGTAATACTTTCATTTATAAGCTTAACATAATTGTGAACAAAATCTGCCTTAATAGACCAAGAGGGGCTCGTGTAGCGTAGCGCTTGAAGGCTCCCTGGAATACACCTAGGATCGATCTCCGCGCCTTAGGCCCACCAAACTCTCCATCCCTCCGGGGTCGGCAAATTGGTACCAGATTGTCTGGGAGGATAGCAGCACTAGCTCGATACATCGGTAGGCCACCGCGCGTCATTGTAGAGCCCAGATATAATGCATGACATGCCCGTTAGGGATTGATCAGTGCTTTATCCTTGTATTACTACTTAACAGACCAGGTTTTAGTCCACAGCTATTTCCTGCATTAAAGTTGTCATCATATAGTGACCATGATTCATCAGGATGATAACAAACAGCTGCAATCTACGAAAGTCTTCGAACTCGGTTAGAATTTACTCCAAGGCCAAGTCAGCCACGGCCACGAATTTACTTTCTGTAGTTTTGCGCCTAAGCCGAACGCACTATCACACAATATTTCCGGTTCTCGGGTTTCGTTTTCACAGTCGAAGGCGATTATGACGAATCTTCTGGTGTACAGTCCAATTCGTTTTATCGATTTGTTACATCCTGTAATGCTCTGGAAGTTTCAGCAGTGTTTTTTTTATTGGAATGGGCTCGTAGTACTACAGCAGTACTTCGAACTATTCATTCTTCCAAGTGGTTTCAAAGTTCTCGTCGAGGTTTCGTAGCCACTTTTTGAATAGTCTGTTAGAAATCCCTGTTTTGTACTGATGTGATGCTAAGAACTTCCTTCACTTTTTAAGTAGTCTTTTCGTATTCTATTCGTTGTATTGATTGGCGCATAACGAGAACGGACATATCATCCCTAATCGTTTGTTTATTACCCGATCTATTTGGTTGATTTTTATGTTTTGTTAGCAGGTAGTTTTATTCCTTACTAACTCCATGGCGCAGTGGTCGGAGGCGCCCTGCAGTACATATGTGAACGATCCACGCGCCACGGGCTCACCGTGCCTTCCTTCCTTATGGAGTCGGCAAATTGCTACCATACCCCTCTGGGAGGATAGCAGCACTGGTTCGATGCATCAGTAGGCCACCATGAGTCATTGTAAAGGCCAAATATGCATTCAGTCACCTCCAACGATGCTTAATGAAGTCGGATGCATGGCGCATCCCTCAGGGATTGATCAACTCTAAGGATTGATCAATATTTCCTAACACACCCTACTTTAAGTTGTTCAGAGCGAACACGGGTGGGAACATGTGTTGTCTGACAATATTATCTGTTTCTAATTCTTCGGCTTGTTTGCCAAGTCAGCTTTACTATGTGTCCAGATGGATAAGCACTGGCATTCAAATCTTTGGTTGTTTCACTGTCTCGCAGTCTTTGCTCCATCTTCCTTCATTAGTTACGGCTACGTTCTTTCTCATGGATCTTTTCCTCTGCTTATTTAGCATCTGTTTTTGAGCGTTTGGGCAGTTCCATTGCATGGCTAGAGTTTCCGCAGATATGTCTGATGACAACGAGCCATTGACTTCTAGCCAGCGACCGATTCCAGACATGTCGTCTCCAGAACGCGCGGCCGAGGAAGGACGAGCTGGTTCGCAGCAACACGCTCGTCACTCGCATGGTCTTGGACACGAGTTCGTTGAACATTCCATCAGTCCCTTTATATCTTTTTAATTCTTTTTTCCATAATAGGCTAAAATGTGTGTCCTTTAGTTTTCACAGTTCTAAGAGGAGTCGATCGAAATTAGCCATTTGAAGGAGATTACTTTCCAGTAAAGAAGAACTCATGTCTGTTTTGCATAACATTTAAGAGGATATTACATTTTTAACGGCAATGACATTTTGTTAGTAATAAGTTAACATGAATTTCTTGCAAGAAGGTGCTTTGTGGAGATCTTCTTCTTCCATCCAGTGCAAAGATTTAGAGCCAGAAAATGTTAACTCACAGATTCGCTAGGTAAGTTCTTACATGTATTCGAAGGGGAACAGGACCATGATCGTAGTATAGTTTATTGCGTCCATAAATTCTGATGGATTTAAAGTGAACCTATAGAAATCCATATCGCTGTTGCAGCTATCAAATCTGATTGCAAATAGTTGGGGCAAATTTCTTCTTTGTACTCTTGCAAAGAGCGAGGCAGTCCTTCCAGCCCATTACATGAATTCGATTCAGATAAGTCTATGAAATTTGACTGGATCTTATATAGCTCTCAATATTTCTCATAGTGCTCTATCCGAAGTTTGATATTTCTTAAGGACGCTTGTAGCGCAATGGTCGGAAGCGCCCTGCAACACACATGGGATCGATCCCTGCGCCGCAAGTCAACCAATCCCTCCATCCCTCCGGGGTCGGCAAATTGGTACCAGACTTATCCGTGAAAATAGCAGCACTGAATCGATACATCAGTACGCCATTGTCATCGCCATTGTCAATCATTGTAAAGGCCAGATATGCATTTAATCACCTCCAACGATACTTATTGAAGTCGAATGCATGGTGCATTCCTCAAAGACTGATCTACGCCAAGAGCTTTATCCTTTGTTTTCTATCCTTCGGCGTTCCTCACAGGCATACAAATTTCTTTGGATAGTGAATAGTGCAAACCTTAATATTTAGCATTATTCATAAAATCGATAATTTAAGTGAGTCACTAAATGTTTGTCTTCGGAAGCATCTAGGTATTGAAACGTAATCTGGACCCAAAAAAGTAAAATGACATGTCCTGAGCAACTTATCCACATCTTCAGGGCTCTTGTGGGTCCGCTATAGGAAATATATTGTATACCTGCTTTGTTTTTCACTCAGTCCAGTGCTACGTTGGTGGTGAAACTGACGACATTTACTCTTCTCACAGTCGGGGTTTTTATTGAACTAGGTAATAAAATTGCAAACAATCGGTTGGAAAAGTAGAAAAAGGTGTTAACGTTCTCTGTCGACAGAGAAAACCCTCTTGTAACCACGAGTGGCTCCATACTTTAAGTAAATTATTCAAATTTTTCCCAACAGATCCTGTTGTACGTTCTGCTTTTCTTCATTACTCAGTAATAGTGCATTCGACAACTATTTACGAGTGAGTACTCCAATCTTTTTTCAAGGGACTCATGGGCGTGGATAAAGTTATTTTGAGCTTATGTTAATATTTTGTGCTGAAAAGCTATCTGTGGTAATATTGCAGCACGAAGGGGACACATCTCTATTCTGTGCTAGGCGTCGACAAGAAAGCAACTGAAGAGGAAATCAAACGTGCGTACAGGAAGCTGGCACTCAAGTACCATCCTGACAAAAACCTGGATGGCGATCCAGAAAAGACCGAAGTGGTAAATTTTTTTTCAAGAGCAGGATTAGATGAAAGGGTATAACTGGTTGTATCAATCCAAAACGAGTAGATTTGCTTTCCATTTTTGTCCTAATAATTGATAGTCTTTTGTAAAAAAAAAGCGATGGAAGAAAGGCAAGGTTTATTGTGTAATCCAGTTTATACAGGAAAGTTCATGTATTATGAAGTATAACTTCTAAAGAGATTTATTGTTCTTTTTTGAAACGGAGTGCTTCTTTTCATTCCAATATGCATTCTTAATGTCTTACACCAGACCTTGTTTAAAGAAAACTTGTAGATTAAAACTTTACGGTTATCCTGGGAAATGGTTACGCTACTTTTTATTTTACTATGTCATTTATAGCAAAGAAAGGAATCTGCTAGATAGAAACGTTTCTGAGAGACAAGCGAAACGATGGACCCGCACGGTGTGGTGGTGAACCAGGTCAACTCCCGGAAAGGGTATTAACGTGTTCGATCCACACCGCGAATACCTGCGGTCCGGAGTTTTGCAAATATCTCAGCATCATTGTGATTGTATTTCACACAACACCCTGCCGTGAAGAATTGTAATAGCCTAGCCAACAAGTAGAAAGTTAGCGTTAAATGAAGAAACCATTACTCGTTTTCAGTTCAAGGAGATCAACTATGCACATGGCGTTCTGTCTAATCCGAATAAACGGAAAGTCAGTTTTACTTCTTCTTTTAAACTTTATTTTTCCTGTAGTTTTCGATGTAACCGAAGCCCTGTTAGTCCGAATAGAAATGATTTCTAGGTTTATGATGAAATGGGTGATACTGGCCTGAAGTTAATGGAACAGTTCGGGGAAGATGAAAAAGTGTTGCAATGGATGCTGAAACCATGGTTCAAGGCTAGCTTTTCATTATATTCATTTCCTTCGAATCATTCCTTAGTTTTCTTCATGGACGCTAATGTTTTAATTTTTCGTATCAACGCTTTCTATCAACGCTTTGGGGAACTGGAAGAGATTTTTAGCACGTTTTGTCTTTTAATATATTGAAATGTTTTTCGTAGTTCTCAACTAATTCAAGGCTTATATCCTTTGCTAGCTGTTTGATGACAGTCCTGCATAAGAAAGCGGTGATATCTATATTTGACGGTCTCGTATAACTCATTGTTAAGTTAATGTTCACATTCGGGAAATTATCTGGTTAAGTTAGGAAATCGTAAATTGATATGAGCGGCTAATTTTGTGTTTGTCTTGGCAACCTTTAAGTGTGTATTTTTGAAAGAGTGCTATAGGGAATTATTCTAGAGATTATCGATTTTCGTAATGGAAGATATCTTTTCACTATGTTTTTTCAGTGGGTATTCTTCGGATTCGGGTTGCTTACGTGTGGATTCTTCTGCTGTTGCTGTGGCTGCTTCTTCTGTTGCAAATGTTGCTGCAATTTCTGTTGTGGAAAGTATGTGCCGAAAGAGGATGAGGTGACTTTGCAAAATTAGCCATATTTTCATTATTTTACAAATGAATTTCTTAGAAGTTACTCCGTGCTGAAGTTGCTGTCTCTTTTACCATAATTCAAGTTAATTCGTCCTAGCTTGGCGTATTTTTTTTCTGTTATAAAATAAAGGTCTCAGATATGTTGCCAAAAATGGCAACATCTACCGGCATCTCTTTGCGTTGTTTCCGACTACTCGCTTAAAATAATTCAAAGTAGGAGAATTGTAATTTGTCGTTTCTCCAGTTAGTAACAAAAGCAACATAAAATAACTTAAAGTAGTGGTAATGTATGATCAAATATTTCCTTTTTAACTCAATGTGAATTGGCTTCAGTGTTGAACCTAAGTAATATTGGCACAGTAGATTTGCTATGGACAATGCTATTGCCATTTGCCAGACATGAAAACGCTTATAGGAATACAACCGTAGCAAATAACAACGTTGTATTTGACGCATGTTCCACTCACAAGAACAGGGGTATATATCTTAAATATAATATACTATGAATCCCCAACGGTTTACCCCCTCATCGTAGCTGGGAGGTGTTCCTGGGTGTCGTGCTGCGATGTACAGCGGGGGATTCATCCCGTCGGCAGGGTCTCTCAAGCTGAGAAGGAGTCCGGCTTTTTTATAAGGAAGCCCAGCTAATAGTAAACTAACAGAAGGTTTTCCACCGTCCGCATATCAAAATAGTCGCATGGTTGCAAGTCTCCCGCTGATCCACAGGAGCGGCGACTGCCTGTCGTGGTGCCGACGTAAGGCAGACTTTGGCTAGGTTGACCTCGGGTCTCCAGGGAACCATAATGGTCAAACCAGCAAAACTTAAAAAAATGGAAATCATGCTGGCGCCCGCATAACCAGTGGAGATGGGCCGTCCAAGTCTCCAAGTAAGTAATATGCTGTGAAATGTGCCGCTTTCTTGTGTTTGTATGAAAAGGAATGGTTGGCTTAAGTGTACAGCAAATTGTACAAGGAAACCTCTTGGTTTCTTTTTTTTTTCATTTTATCTTTTGGAAGTGTAGCAAGTTGGCATGGTTGAGCAAAACTATGTTTGATATTCAAAAACTTCTCAAATTTGTTGTTATGTGGGATTTTGCACCCAGTGGTCCAGAAGTTTCTTAGTTCAGACTTTTTTTTTCGTGCAGCTTGTATCGAAGTAATCTGGGTGTAAAAAGGGAATTTTGCTGCTGTACTTCATTATGGATACTGTCAGTACTTTAGATGGCGGGAAATTAATGAATGCCGTAATCGAAGGGTTCGTTTCTCCTCACCGCTTGCTTAGGAAAAGGACACGTGTAGCGCAGTGGTCGAAGGCGCCCTTCAACATACATACGATCGATCACCGCGCTCAAGGCTCACACAGCCTTCCATCCCTCCGGGGTCTTGTCTGGAAGGATAGCAGCACTCTCTCGATACATTGGCAGCCACCGTGATTCATTGTAAAGGCCAGGTGTGCATTAAATAGCCTCCAACGACGTTTAATGAATGGTGCATGCATAGCGCATTCCTCAAGAACTGATCAACGCTAAGAGTTTTATCCTTTCTTAGTTTTTTCACATACACAAACTCACAGTAATCGATGGATTTCGTTTGCTCTTATAACTTACCTAAACTCATTGGGGTGGAAGAAATAGTAGGTGGGAATGGATAAATATCAAGATTGCTTCAAATAAGATCTGTTCAGCGTTTTAATTCAAGTGAAAGCTCGTTAACCTTTATACTGGTTTTCCTTTGACAAAATTATACTTCTTCTTAATACCTTCTTTCGCTCTCATAAATTACGAACTTCGAAATTAACCGTGCTGCAAGCTACTTATCATTGCAATACGAGGGAATTAATGAGCTGAATTTATATCAGAGCTATGAGCCACCGAATATTGATGACATCGAAGTGGCCGAAGCTAATTCGGCGACCCGATCTGCTGATGGTGCGACGGTGATCACTTCACAACCCGCTGGTAGTCCTAAAGCATCACCAATACCGATGCCTTCTTCAGCACATGACTCAGCTGCCGAAACTTCTCCACGGGTAAGTTTATTAATGACGCATCTATACAGCGGAGTTACTGAACTATAGGTACTTCTGCCATATCATGCTACTAAAAGTTTGCTTAAACGAGTTTTTAGTGAATCTTTCATTCTTTTTACTAGTCTTACCTATGCATTTTGCATGATTCTCCATGTTAACGTACTTTGTGGTTCGTCTCGAGTTTCATCCAGTTCGATTTGTTTATGCGATTTTTGCAGGAGTTTCTGTGAAACGTTTCTTATTTTAGTTGAAAGTTTCAAATTCAAATATTATTCGGTATTGTAATGATAGCCTAAGCCGTAATGGTGCTGAGATATTTGCAAAGCTTCGAGCCGCTGCTGTCTGCGGTGAAGGCTGAACACGCTGTTAGCTTTTCCGGGACTAACGCCTTCAACAGCACAACACGTGCGTCCATCGTTTGGCCTTTCTCTCAGTTGTGTTATTGAGCTATATGTCATATCATACGAAACAAAGGACTCCGATGGTGTGATGGTGAACGCGTTAGCACCCGGAAAGGATAATAGCATGTTCGGCCCCACCGCAGACACCAGCGATCCAGAGTTTCGCAAGCATCCTAGCATCGTTATGGTTATATTTCACATAATATCCTGTTATTAAAAAAAGGAGAAAACAGTAAATAAAAAGTGACGACATTATAGACTAAACTTAAATCTATTTTTCGTGTAGCGAAGTTCAACATAAGTTTCTTAACGAGTGTTTGGGAACATGCCTCACGTTTTCACCTGACGCTGGTTTTAGTTACTTACTTTTCAAACGCGCTTTAAATTTTTCTACAGCGAATCGTGGTAATACCTGCTGGATATGGTGCAACAGAGCCGAGCAATTGACCGGTAACGCTTTCATCCCTGAAAGATCTACTTTTCTCAACTTTTTAATGTCATATGATGTTGTGGTTGTGTCATCAAAGTGATCTAGGGACTCCTCCACTTCTCAGTTATTTGTGACCCAATTCCATGTAATTCTCTACATTTTTTCAATATTGAAGCTTCTAACGTTGTTAAGAAAACAAGTGTTCAGTTTCCGAACTCCGTATCCATGTAACACGATCGATGCTTATATTCAAAAACGTGTATACTGACCATATGCCGCTTAATGCAGGCGAATATAGTGCATTTAACTTCACTTGAATATTTCCTCATTTCTCTCGTAGCTTCTTTGCTGTCATATCTTCGTTTTAAATCTGTTACAGCTTGACTTTCGTTTAGTAACATGAATTGCTCAGTAGTTCAGCTCATAACCATTAGATTTTTAACCTTCTTCGTTCTTGGTTTGAAATGACTTGCTTTAACATTAGTTATAGATAGTTTCAATCTGTAGGACAGGTAGGTGCTGAGGATTTAGCACGAACTATTCATACATAATTTGCAACCTCTCGTAACTGTATGAATTGTACGATATTACTGTTGTATTTGAAGCGTTTTTTCTTCTCCTTAGTATTTATTTATTGACGATAATTTTGCTGGTAACGGTTGTTCTACGTCCTGGTTGCGATTCCTGTGTGGTGATAGCCTCGATTTGCCTTGCTCTGCGTACTTCCTTTCTATGTTTTCATGCCATTTTATTGTTGAAAAGAATATGAAAGTTCTTTATTCAGGACTTCTACGATATTTCATGAATTGGACGAAAACCAATTTCATGTTGTTCAGTTCGTTTCGTCAATTAGGCATTTTGAAGATCTGATCGGGAAAACAATGACATTGAACATTTAAAACTACTTTTTAATTGCAATGATGCTGAGGTAATCGCAAAACTTCGACCCAGGGGCAGGTAGAACCACGATTTCCCTTCCAGGTGGGCTCGCGTCTTACACACCGCGCCACAGAGACCCTTGCTCTGCGCGTCTCTTAGCTAGTTTTCTTTCTTCCAGTGCCATCAGCAATCAACCGTCAACGCGATTGATCTGGGAAGCCACTTTTTAATTTTTTATTACATCAATTGGTGATGTTACAGTTGATCGTAAAAGTAGTAGCTGGATTGGTTCACAGGATTATCACTCGACAACAATGATCCTTGAAAGAGACTTTCTACGTTAGGCCGAGGTGGATGACGACGATTGGCAGCAATTCAGGGTTTATCGCTGGGATTGGCCTCATCGTAATGTTGGTGCATGTGGTATGCATTAGGGTGTAGAGCCACCCTTTAAAACAGATGTCCTTCGAATGGCTTAGGCGACATTTGCTTCGTCTTTGAATGGTCTCCTTCCCTCAAGACGATTCGCCCCTGTTGCTGTTGTGCTTCAGTACATAGGAGTCTTCACATCCAGTTTCTCAGTTCTACCGTCACGCGTTTTTGATTGTTACTAAACTGGTGTCTGATTTTGTGACACTTTAGAACAATCGAAGCCGTGTGATGAGATATTTTCAATTTCGGAGGAAATTAACGGTGAGTATTTTTTTACATACTGATTTTTACTTAAACATAAAAGTCAGAGGGTGATCCCCCAGAAAGAGTAATCGCCGTTCGATCTTGCCTGGGGTCCAAATTTTGCAAACATTTCAACATCACAGTGGTTGTATTTCATATGCTATGGCATGAAGAGTAATAGTAGACAGTAAATAAAAAGTGTTAACATTGTAAAAGTTATGTTTAGTTAACGCACGGTGAACCGCGCACTTCTATCGACCAGCATGAATAGCTGGACTTCTGAAATTGTGGTGTAGTACAAAACCGAGGGAATCTTCCAATTTCCACTGAAATTCTTAGCAAACCAAGAAGTTTTTGAAGGACTGAGCCTATTAAGTCTTATGAAGTTTAGGTTGTAATTAATGTAATGGTTTAATGTAATTTTTTACATACTGATTTTTACTTAAACATAAAAGTTAGAGGGTGATCTCCCAGAAAGAGTGTCACAGGTGTTAACCTGTGACATTTTTTAGTTTCAGTCTCTTTAAAACGGTACAGAAGGTGAAGTTTATGGCTTTTCGTTAGACTTTTCGGGTGCATTCGGTTGAAATGGATTGTCTCGTAAACGGCTTCGCATTCCACAAACCGTACCACTGGGCGAAAATCTAATTCTGAGCAACTGCACAACACCTGGGATCGAGTTGATGCTTTCCATATCTCTTTACTTTCTATTATCATTAATAAATGTTAGGAAATTATAGCATTACTAATCTTATAGTTATTGCAAACCTTCCACATCCAACTTAATATTGACAACGTTTCGTTGAGCGTATTTGCTACGGCTCCATTTCTTTGTCCCCATCTTTTTATCGTAACCAAAATAACGGATGCATAATTTCTTTAGGATATCCAAATCAGACCCGAAAAGTATGAACGACTTAATGCAGGCTTGTTTCGCACCAGCTAACAGTGCATTGGAATAATCCATGAACTGGGAAGGCCTCAGATATAATCCTACGTCTTACTTGAGTTTATGAACCGCATTATAGTGGCGGCCAACGCACCCTAAATATAGTGACGATCAATGGGGCAGAAATCTAGTGAATAGCTCCATAAAATGCGCTAATTGGACTCAATTGTCAATAACGAATAGTCACCAGTACGACATAGAATGCCGGACTTCGTGTGGATTCATCACAAAGGACATTTTGTTGTTGTTACAGAGCAGACCTCAAACTTAGGTAATTACACCGTCTATAACAATAATAATGCAGTAATAGCGATATAACGATTTCAAGAAATGTAAACAATAGAAGCGCCAAGATGACAACGGAATCGACAAACAAAGATAAACCAATAGGCAAGAAATTACATTGAAAACGAGACAATAGTTTCTGCAAAAGACTCGTTATGTAATATGAGAAAGAACTTTAGTGCAGAACACAAGCAGGAAGACTGAGGAGGAGGTTTTGGCGAGGGAGGAGATAAGACCAAATGTTTTTAGTGATAGTAGCTTATATACCAGACTGGAAAGCTAATATGGCGGACAACTGTAGCAAGGAATGAGGAATAGATGAAATATCGCTGTTTGCAGCGGAAAGGCATACAACTGGTGTTATGATTTCTTGTGTTAATGGAGAGCCCGGTGCTCGGATTCTACCACATGAAATGAAAAGACAAGAAGAATATGGAAATTGGAAGAGTCTTATCTACGTGAACTGAAGAATTTCTAACGATGGTTTTGCTTATATACCTTCCATGATTGGTGGATTGCTTGTAAAGGAAACCAGTGATAATGTCCAAAGGGGAATTCTAGAAAGCTTCTAAGTTAGTGCAGTTTAGGGGAGATGCTTCAAAACATGACATGGTTCGTGCGGAGAAATACATTGGATAAGATGGCATGCAAAAAGCTTCGTCAACATGGAACTCAATCAGGTAGCCAAGGAACAGCTTGTAAAGAAAGTTCACATGAAAGTGACACAATAGCTTCTACAGAAAGTTCATCAGATAGCAAAGAGATCACTTGTACACAAAATGTATGTAAATTTGATTGAGGATTGAAAGAAAACATTTGTTATTTTGTGGAGAACGTTTTCTACAGAGATTGCTGTTGAGTTTCAAACCTCATAGCTTAATTTGATCTAAGGTTGTGGTATTCACTAAGGTTTTGGATTTATTATGTCCCATAGTGGTAGACTTAAAAACAATGGTTTATGGAACCATAGAGGATAAAAAGATGAAACTTCTGGCGCTTATCAGTCGCTAAGGGATGCGTCACGTATTCGTCTTATGTCGAGTACCTTTAGAGGCGGTTGAGTAAATATCTGGCCTTTATAATGACTTACGGTAACCTATTAATGCATCAAGTCAGTACTGCTATCCTTTCAGACAATGCTCGTATCAGTTTACCAATATTGGAAAAATGGAAGGCTTAGTGAGCTGTGGGTGGCCAGATTGAACTAAAAATCGCGTTAGTATTGATGACACCTTAACCACCGTACCACACGTGCCCTTTATGAAATCACATCACTGGTAATGCGTCAAGTTCGTGTAGAGATAAAAATTTAAGAAGTAATGCTCTAAACTGGAAACATGTTAGCCAATAACCTCCGATCTTTCACGGTGATGTAAGCAAGTACAGAATACTTCAAAATTCATTCCGATTCCGAGTCGCAGCAGGGAATGGATGGACCTATGTCATAGCAAAAACATTCGAGCTGCCACCTGCAGGTATGATTTTGTTGAACAGAATTAAACTTATGGAAACCATGTGGTAAACATTGTTTTCGTTGTTCCTCAAACATGCGGAATGCAGTAAATAGCACAGATGATTCACCGAAATTGATTCAGCCGTTGGTAGCGTTGATGGAGGTATGAGAGGCGAAGTGGAATCTCTTCTGCCGGCTGACTCAACTCGAAAGCAACGGTGTCGTTGGGAGTGAAATCGCTTCATAACCAAGGGACTTGCTGGCGCGCAGCACTATTTGTAAGGGA